TATATAGTATATATATATATATATATATATATGCTGGTGAGAATATGCTTAAGGTTGACAACTACAGAAGCAGTTTCTCCTTCCTTGGTGTTCACACCTCAACTGCTAGCAGAGCACCTCACCCTCCCTGATTGAACTAACCTCGTTATCTCCATACTGATTTATACCTGCCTCTGGAAATTTCCATTACTTGCGTCTGATGAAGTGGGCATTCACTCACGAAAGCTTATGCTCCAATACTTCTGTTAGTCTTAAAGGTGCCACAGGACCCTCTGTTGCTTTATGCAGGTGAAACTCACAAAGGGACAAACCTCAGGATTGGGTTTAATATATTTTGAGCTGTTTGAGAAGAGTTATAGTGAGGGCTTCTTCCAGAGGCTAGGAGAGTAAGAAGAAGAACTAGGCCTGAACAGAAATTAACCGAAATCCTTTGGATCTGCAGTCACACCCCTATTCTCCCTTACAGACACTACTGCATGTATGACTGCCTTGTGACTCTGTGAGGGGAGCTCAACCATGAAAGCCAGCAAATCAGAGTGGAAAGAAACCTGAGCAAATAGAAATCATGCTCAACAGCAAAAGAGAGATCACCTTATATGGGAGCATCCATGGGCAAGGAAATGAACATATCTAGCCTGGCTGCTAAGGTCAGATCCCAAGCAGATGGAAGAAGTTAATGTGAGTGTGCTTAGGAAGAAAAGAAGACACTCTGAAGAGCAACTCTTTGTCCCAGATGGAATCCAAGTCCTGTTGTTTTCCTTTTTGTTATAAATAAGGGGCTGTGGACTTAAATCTGACTGGGTTATATTAAAATCCATTTCTACTGTATGGCTTTTCAAGTACCTAGATGTATCAGAGGTCTTGCTTTGATCCATCCCAATCTGTGTTATTTTTTGCTATTATTTTGTATCACACTTTTCAAAGTTTGTTGAAATGCTGCTAAGTTTCTCAACATAGTATACTATAAACCACAGCACCCCTGGACAAAATCAGTGCTGGCATAGGCAATGTCCACTGTGATTCTATGATTTTATGAACAAGTACCTGCTTACCCCAGGTGTTAATTTGCCCCTGTGTGGTAGGGGATTGTAAATCAATTTTCAAGAAACCCTGCCAACTTAAAAATCACACTTCTTTGTGGCTTTCTTGTGCCTACTGCTATCACACGTAACAGCGTAGATGACTATAAACTGAAAAAGATTAGAGGAAAATGCCTGTCTCTATCTTGTTGAATTTGTTTGTTTTGTGTACTTGTGTCTTTGGTTCTGATGTGGGTCTTTCACACAGCAACAGGGAGAGAGGGAAATTGGCCCTCTGAGGCTTACTTACGAATCTGA